CTTAAAAATACTGACTGATCTGAGCCTAATGCTTTCTTGTTTTCCTGTGCTAATTCATTCAGAAATATGTTCTCCAAGCTCTTCATATTGCTATTGTCACGTGCACTTGTAATACATATTACCCTGCCTCTGTTCAGTAGCTTGCTAGTATTCTCATTTAGGGAAGTTCTTTTCTCATGTTGTATCTCAGAACACTCGTTCAAAGTTTCAATTGCCACACGTAAACCATGTATTACTGAGTAATCTTCCCCAGGTTCTGGAGTCTTCGTTGGTACTCCTAAAATGGCTGTACCATTCATTATCTGTAAATAAAAACAATTCCATTATTTTTTTCATTAAATATATATTAGCAAAAATTTCTACATTTAAATTCCACATTTGGATTTTTATTATAAGAATACATTTCAGTAATAATAAATATTTACATTCTATCAACTAATTATCCATTATTCAATATAGAAGTTTAAAAGGTACTTGCATGATTCAAATTCTGTTGCAATGTGCTCCATGAATTCAACATATAAGCTGAACGATCAGTCACAACGAATCTAATCTGAAAAATAACAGTGATATAGAAATAACATTAACACAAGTGATAATTAAAGAAAGCTTTTCATACCAATTTACCCATGGGGAAAAGATCCCAAACAATGCGACAGTACTCCAACGAGGCCTCGACGCTGGTGGTCCATAAGGATTTGCAAACTGGTGCTAGTGGGATCAAGTTCTGTCCCCTACTTTTCAAAAAATCGAATTCTAACGGGCACTCGGTAGAAATACCGAAATATGGAGTGTGATCCAGCACGAATGTTGTCTTGTGATTCGCGGGATACATCTTCTTAGCATTTCTTGCTTGCGAACTAAGCAAAATAAATTCAACACTTTTGAGCTGAGTGAGTTAACGCTGTGAATCGTTTTATTGTTTTTGTAGGTTAGAACGCGACCGGTCGCTTTGTTTACAATTACGAATGTCGCATTTAGGTTGCCTTTTATCGAGTTAACTGCATTATCTTCAGAATTATTTTTCCCCGACAATCAACTTAGTCGAGGAAAAAACGAATGAACAACAATGACATACAAAAGTAAGCATGCTAGTCTTCAGTATGTGTATAAAAAATATAAGACGAAGCACCCCGAAATAATCGTTCAAAAATAGTGGAGAGCAATGAGCCAATCAGTTTTTTCCAAAATGCAAAATTCAATATGGCCGACATAGATGATTTAAGCCATAAGAAATGAACGAATCATAGTCGAGGAATAGGAGAATAATCGACTACGATTGATCAATTTCTTACGGCTTAAATCACCTATTGTAGATTACCGGGACTAACAACTGATTAGTTAAAATTTCAGGCCATTTTCCTCAGTCATCGCCATATGCGCAATGCTTCACTTTATATTCTTTACACCATGTTCAATGTAGATGAAACATAACCTCAATTGCCTAAGATTGCATGCAGCTGGAGCTGATTGAAAAAAAGCAGTTAGAAATATTAAAAATCATATTTACTTGATTATATTTAAAAAGAGTCTCAAAAAAGTATTATTTTCTTGTTCTTTAAAGATGCACTGGAAAACGGGTAAATCGATGGAAATGGGTTCGTAGCATCTGAATAATTCAAAATTGTGAAAACATTGTCTCATAGTATCAAGTATCATGAATGTTAATTCACAGATAATCTGATATCTGATGATGCCAGTAATGATAGTGACGACAGTGATATGAGTATGGATCAAGATATGAATGATAATGAGAATATAACAGATGACTCTATATCGGACAGCAGTGATGATAGGATTACTGTTATCAAAGAGTCAAAAGTTCCAGCATCTACTTCAGAAGGTATTGCATTCATTTTGTTTCAAGTCTCTTTATATAAAAAAAGCTCAGAAAATGCATCTGATGTTTATTTCTGCCAATATCTATTAATTTTAATCTCGGTTTAATTTATTCATTATTTTTTACTTTTTTTAACTCTTATCAAAAATATAAAAAGGTTTGATCAAAATTAAAATTAATTTACATTGATGGAAGTGTATATTAGACAAACATGTTATTAGGAAGGATTTATAATTAAGATATAAATCGAATAAATCTATTTATAAATAATATCTTCTGAATAAATTTTTTTAAGATGGACCATCATCTTATCGAAATAAGAACAATAATGATAAGGATTCAATTAATTCAGACGAGGATGAAATCATTAAAGCTATATTGGATGCAAAAACATTGCATAGGAATCATCCACCTACTATTACATTAGAAGATATGATAACAGATATATGTTTTCATCCTACAATGGATACTATAGGTGTAGCTAGTATCACAGGAGATGTTTTCATGTGAGCATATTTAAAACAATAAAAGATTAAGTAGTGATAAATTCAAAATTAATCGGAAATAAGCAAAATTGAAGCAAAATTTTTGACTATATAATTTGTTGTTTCCTATCTTATTTTTTTCAAATATTAAATAAAGAAATAAATGATTATATACATGTTAACAAAATAATATAAATATAAACTAATCACAAATCAAGTTAATCAAAGTTCAATTACTTCAAGTTCCATAAATTAATATTTTCACTTTTTTTTTAGATATAAATACAATAATGAAGAAACTAATCTTGTATCAACCATGGAATTGCATCTCAAAGCTTGCCGGGACATTGAGTTTAGTGAGGATGGACGGTTGTTATTTTCAGCTGGAAAAGATTTATGTATAGCAATAACCGATGTAGAAACGGAAAAATTAACTAGGCTGTACGAAGAAGCTCACGAGTATGTTTAATCTATTCATACGTGATTTCATTAATATATCGATGATACTAATGCATTTGTCACAATCCAAATTGTATCTTAGGCAACCTATATACACAATGACGGTAATCAACGAGAACGTATTTGTAACAGGTGACGACGATGGTGTTGTAAAACGTAATAATTATTATTTTTCTTAAATCTCTAACTGGACCAAGCCAGTTTTATATAAAGAAAAATTTTTCAAGTGTGGGACCTCAGACAAAAGGAAAACAAACCGATATTTTCTATAAAGGAGGTGGAAGATTATATTGGTGCAATGATAACCAACAGAGATGCGAAATATTTAGTATGCGCCAGTGGTGATGGCTATCTAACAACTCTAAATATATCAGAAAGAAAATTGTACATGCAGGTATTGTAAAATACATACGGTGATTGATACATCATTTATTAAATCATTATTAAATCATATATATGTGATGTATCAAATAAAATATATATTGCACACAGTCCGAGGAGTACGACGACGAGTTGACGTGTCTCGGCTTATTTAAAATGGAAGGTAAATTATTGGCGGCTAGTAATAAAGGAAAAATGTATATTTACAATTGGGGAGAATTCGGACTGCATTCGGATGAATTTCCAAGTGCCACAAAGAAAGCTATAAATTGTATGATCCCCATTACAGAAAATGTAGTAGTAACTGGTGGAGAGGACGGAATAATTAGGTAAGTCATAAAGAGAAAACCGCGCAATATTTTATAAAATACAAAGTAATCATTTATACGATATTTTTATATCATATTTATACAATAAATAGAGCAACCAGTCTGTTTCCTCATCGTCATCTCGGTATAGTGGGACAACATAATTTTTCTGTCGAAACTCTTGATGTTAGCAATGATGGAACTTTAATAGCGTCTTCTTCGCATAACAATGATATAAAATTCTGGAATGTACAATATTTCGAGACTTTAAATGTCACCGAACCCGCAAAAGGTGGAAAGCGAAAATGGCTCGAACACAATCTTCCCAGCAGTCAAATCAATAATCGATCAGATTTCTTTGCAGAAATGTAATCTCAACAGTGCTGTAATAAAATAACTTTACCATTTAATTATGGAAATATAAATATAACAATCCTTTTATAGATGTATATATATTACTTGTTGTTTTGAAATAATAGTATTTATAGTATCTAAATGCATTCGGCATCGTTTAGCATATAAGGACAAATAGATAAACAAGTAATGTTATAAAATGTGCATTTTATATATAATTATCAATATATGAGCGCTACATATAAATTCAGGTGTGATATGAATATAATATATTCATACGTAATACTTTGTTTTGATTAAACTTGAAATATCTTACAAAATATAAGTTTATATTCTACTACATTGGTAGATCACTATTTATATCTTGGGTATCGCGCGTTATACGTCTTATTTAAATTATTATAGAGTGATATATAAATCTATCTATCTAGACATATACGTTGTACGTTATTGATTGAATACATCAATTAAAGTCATGACGTGATTTAGGAGACGAGTCCAATTCAAATTCCGCCGTTTGCAATTTCTTGCTTTCTATATATATATATGTAATTCCATATATATAAATCTTACTTCAATCGTAAAAAATGTATTTTGATATTTTGGTAAACATTTATACCAATTGAATTATGATAGTATAAAGAATATTTTAACACAAGTGGTATGAAGTATGAAAATTTTAGCTAGAGATATTCCTTTGCAAAGAATTATCTCGGTTTCTGAGCCTCATTCAAATGCACTGTAATGCATTATAATGCATTTAAAATGCAAGATAATATTATTTCATAGTCATCGCAATTATTGATGATTTATTTGACGTAAATATTCAGGTGCGTGATAATGCTGTTGTGCATGCGCTAGTGAGGGGTGTATTGGAGGTTGAAAGCAACGCACGTGTTCTACGCTTGCTGCGTCGCTATCTCCGCTTTTCAGGTATTTATTCAACACGGCAAATATTTGTGAGTTTAATACCTGAAATCGCCTTATTCGATCCACCATTCTCTTCAAATGCTTTAAAGATAAATGTGTTATTAGTACTAATATAAAATGAGTAACTTTTGCATATGCATATTATATTACTATTACTTACTATTCCTTTAACATTCTCATCCTTGCCGTCTACACGTTGCACTCGAAGTATATGATAGCAGAAATCAAGCGCCTCAAATCTACGTTGTTGACCCAAAAGGACAATCATAGCACATCCAGCCCAGTGTAAACCTTCACCAAACAATTCTCTGAAAAAGAAAGAAATAATTATGATTGTTTTTACAATGTTAATTCACAAAGAAGTATATATTAATTGCTATACTAACTCAACAGTAAATTCAGTATCGCCAACGGGGATACAATATACAAATTGAAGCGCACTCCAAAGTCTATGAAATTCCGTGCATTCATCTACGTTCATTACGCCATTCGCTGGCGGTGGTCCGACCCAGATAGGATCATCTAAGAAGCTTCGTAATCTACTGAGCACAACTTCGAATATCGACAAACCGCAACACAGTCGTTCGCGCGTCAACAAATCCCCTTCTCTGGCAATCATCGCTTGCTGAAGACAGATTGCGCGATAAATTAAATAAGGAAAAAAAATAATTTAGTCTAATAAAAACATAATTTAGAAAATATATTACTTACTTTAGCGGTACCTAACTTATCTACGTTTGGAACAATTTGTAAAGCTGCATACTTCGCCTCCAATCGCTTCTGCTTGGTTTCGGGTTTCTCACCCTCTAAAAAAATTTCATATATAAATAATAGCATTTAATTTCAAATATACAACTGTTATTTATTTCTGATTAAATAGATTATATATTATATAATTTTGCTTTCTCACCTTTGCAATAAGGTCTAGGCAAGATGTTTTGGAACGGCGCTGCATGCAGCAAATCGCACACTTCTTCTTGCGATAGTGCCTGTTCCATTAAAAGGCAGAATAAAATCGTATTGCCGAATTCCCGAAAATTATGAAACAGCTCGGTCTTAGCATCTGGATATTGCACAATATCGTTCAACTGAGCATGATAATAGCCTAAAACTCCAGGGGATCCATAATCGTATCGTGGAAGCTTGCAAACTTTAGGCATAGCTTCCATTAAAGTTTTTGTGAACTGATGTAGGCTTCCTTGGATCAAAGTCTTAACGATTTTCAAAAGTTCTTCCATAACGACAGCTATTCCTTGATATCCGAGTAATTTACATATAGTACGAAAATGATGTGAACCGACGAATCCCGAGTATTGCCCATATTGAGTGCTATAAGCCAGATTTAATTGCTTACTACCCCAGAGATAATGATGCGACATTTGTGGTGGTTTATCTCTATGTACGGGTTGTACAAATTGTAGGCCGCGACATTTAACAAATCTATAAATAAAATACAGGTTAATAATACTACTAATTGATAAAATGGAACAAATCATATAAACAGAAGTGATATATACCTGTTTGTGGCAGCGTTGTAACAGTAATTTGGCAAAAAGTCATAATTTAATTCCCAGAATACATGAAGAGTGATCCTTCCGTATGGAGCTAGAACATTATGATTTGCTTCTCTGAACATGGCATCATACTCATCTAATGCCAGCCACTTGCTTAAAAGTTTATGAGTAAGGCGATTGACTTGCAACAATCCATCCAACTCCTGCCGGATATCAGCGATCGATTAATTGCGAGAGATACTTGTAACGTGACTTATAACGTGACAATTATAAATACGAGACTTACCACGACTCCGGTTATATCGCCAGATTCGAATTTGCTAATGGCCAAATCCAAGGATTTTTGCATATCTGCATTAATACGTTGTGTTATAAGTTTATTCAAGTCAATACTTCTTCCCAATAATTGAACGTGCCTCTGTTTTAATAATGTTTCGTATCTATTGGCACGGGGATATGGAAGCAAATATGCCCCAAGAGCTACGCATTCTACTCTAAATCGTTTGTCCAACAAGATACTAGCCGCCAGTTGTTTGTAGTGCGCAAAAATCTGTTCGCTAAGTTTGTAAACAAATTGATCAAAGCATAGATTCACCTCAGCTTCTACTTCGTCGTATAGAAATTGTTTACGGAATATTGTCAGTGCATATAATGCACTATCGTTATATAAATCCAGAGGATATAAAACATATCTGCAAAATTAATAATAGATATATAAATAGAATAATTATAATATATAATATATACATATATTTTCATGCATGTATGTATATATATCGCATTTTAGTTGATAATTAAGACACAATTATTTTATTAATTCAAAAACTTACTCCATCATGGATGGTTCCTTGCTTCTCAATATATGATCAGTTAATATCCATGGCATAGACATTTCAATGGGAAACTGAAACATTTTATCAATTAAATGTTTGGATGAAACATAACAAATAATATTTCTATGTGGTATTTTTTGCAACTTGTATAGTGTGAACTATTGCTTCAGTTGACATGGTTTGGATGTGACATTGGTTTATTGTGCACGCAACAAACGGGAAATACCTGAATGCGTTTTTCCATGGTGATTAGATCGCTGCACTCCTCGTTATGCTGGTGACGTACTTGGCATTTCTAGTCATAGAATAAATTATAGAAACTATTTTCATAATAGTAGTTTCCATATGTACGCAAGGGGAAGGGTATTAAAAAGTTCGCAAGATTTGTATTTGTTAATCGATGAATGGCTGCGTATCTTTGTACGCTCAAATTAAGAATCGTTCGTAAACGACTATTGATGTCTTCTAGTTATACTATGTAGCGATTTCAAAATTACATTGTGAGAATGTATCAAATTAAAAAGATTAACATTAATTACCTGTATCTTCCTACCCATGGTCATTTCCAGATAAAATTCTCTATACCAAAGTTGCGACAAGTCACAACAAAGTTGTAGAGATTCTGCAAAAAAAAATGGTAAGAAACTGTTAAGAGGAAGCAAAGGATAATTGTGAATTTTGAAAATAGTTATTTACTTACCACATAGTAGTTATTTACTTACCACTGAAATTTAGAAGATAACTCCAATAATAGCTAGTTTTATGAAATTGATCGATCTGAACGAGATACTGGCCATCAATATCTTTTCTCAGAGTGCGTTTCCCGCCGCTTTTGTCAGCAATTAATGATTCCAACATAGTTCGTACCATATATAATTGCGTGGAAGACGGGCCAACGTTTCTCCGTGGAACTTTAATGCCGAATCCATTATCTGGATCCTTTTTGCCCTTTAAGGCAGGATCTCCGACCGGTTCCTTTCCAAAATTCCAATCTGCACAAGTTTCTCTAACGGAAACAATTATACTAAAACAAGAAAATAAGAAAATAAGATAGAAGACTATTTATAGAAATACAAGTTAAAATTAGCTATTTTAATCATTCATGGGAATGTCTATTAATTAATTAATTAAAATTGTATAAATATACAATATAACTAAGATAGAGTTTATACCAACCTTCGGATCAAATCCTTCTTATTTTTGATGGCTTTCCTTAAAGGTTCGCGCAATACAAGTTGCACAAAGTCTTGTAACTCGGCATATATATTTCTACGTATCGCATCGATGAAAACAGTCTCCATACGTGCCATCAATACCTGCAATCCTTTAATCATCGCGATGACTTCTATAAGGGCAAACTTCTCTTCGTCAGAATAATTATAACGTGTAGCCTATATAAAGATATTAAAAAATTCATTATTTTTTCGAATAAATTAGTAAACATCAATAATGTATCTAGAAATATTAATAGAATAATCATACTCTTTCATATTCTTCAGCCTCTTGTGGACATTCTTTGTTCATGTGATGGTCAGTGGGATGTAGTAACTTCCAACTGTACAACTCTGTTACAACGCTGGTCCATTGAGAAAGTAATTGTAATCCGCGTAACGCCAATTCTGCGGTGTCGTGATTTTCCGTATCACTTCGGCATTCTTTGTATGTTGTGGTGACTTCATTACTATATCTGTGTGAATACAATTTTTGCATTATCAAGCAAGTAACAATTTAAGATGAAACGAATAACGAACAAAATATACCTTGCCAATTCGCTAATGTATTTTACGTGATCCTCTCTGATCTGAGGGAGATGTACCATGAGATCGGCTTGCGGACTTATGTTATTTGATGAAGACAATGGCCATTTCGATGCATCAAAATGTTTCGAACGTTTGATATAATTGAACGGTGCGATCTGCATATCTCCGAATAGTGGTACCACTTCCAGGTTCTTAAAAATTCTATCAATTCTATCCAATTTCAACTTTTTCTTTTGATCGAGTTTATTGATGTTACATAATTCGCTATCCATCAGGAATAAACCGAAGCCCATCACTTTTACCAGCATGTGCTTTTCATTGGGTGTGAGATACATCTTGGCTTCGAACATGTGAACACAGATATTGACAACATCTGCAAGTAATTCTTCATATCCTGCGATCTTTTCGAGATTCTCTTTAACCGTATCACGGATCTTATTTTGCGTTGCCAAAAACATTGACAAATTCTGGGATTCTTGTAGTGTCTGAGAGTCTGACATCACTTTCAAAAATTGCGCAGCTCTTGAAAGAATCAAATAAAATGTATGTAGGCACAAAAATATTTAAAAGAAATATATAAATAAAATTTTTCTTTAATAAATTACCTTCTATATGTGGAATAATCATTCTTTACACTAGATTTCATATTTTTCAATTCATCTAGTACAGCAAACATATTGATAAATTTTCCTAGAGTCAGTAAGTATGCCTCAGAAACAAAATCCTTTCTTTTTTCATGATGACATAATCGTTTAACTTCTCCAGAAAATCGCTCAATTGCTTTTCTCTACAATATAAGTAAGGATGAAAAATACTGTAATGTACAGAAGAAGCCAAACCATGATTAAATTAAATTAATCAGCATTCAATTTATAAATTTGCTTAAGACAATATTTTTAACTATATAACTTGTCTCTTGTAATTTTTCTTATATGTCAAGCAATATTAATAATTCCACTCATGTTAACAAAATAATATAGTTATTTAGTAAGATAATTATAGTTTAGTCAAAGTCACCTTAAATAAATATCTGTAATAATACAAAGTTACACTCACTTGGAAATACATGAAATTTAACAATTTGTTCACTTCAGGAGCCAATACCTCTACTGTCTTTTCATAAATTTCCACTCTATTTGGCTGCTCATTAGATTTTGGTTGTGGAATTGCTCGTGAGCAGCATCTCCATGTATATAACATAACTGCATGTTCCAAACCTTCTTCTAGTAGCTCATTCTGAATTTTTTAAATATAATATAATATAATATAATATAATATAATATAATATAATATAATATAATATAGTATAAAGATATTCCATTAACATTGATCTCATAAGTACACATATCTTAGAGCTTATAATCAACATCTAATGCCCATTATCAATATAGATAAATTTTAATCTTGGTTCAATCTATTCTTTATATTTTTTCTAATTCTCAAAACTAAAAGAAAAAAAATAAGTTAAACTAAGTTAAGATTAAAATTAATCTATATAGAAGTTGGACATTAATTAATATTATCAATAACAAACTTCTAATGCCTCTTCCAATTGAAATCTCTTTATCTTTTTCTAATTTTTAGAACTAAAAAAATTAATTAATCAATTAAAATTAATCTACATTGGTAGAAAAGCAGATATCAATTAAAAATTGCCAATATAATAAAACATGTAATGTTTTGTCACTTTCAATTTAAGTCACTTCCTTTAATATTATTCTTAATTCTTGAAACTAAAAAAGAGAAGATAAGAAGCAAGTTAAATCAGGAGATTAAAGTAAATTTACATTGATAAAAATGAACATGAGCTCACCAAACTCGCGTGCACCGTCGCTTCCTCTATGTACTTAGCGATACCAGTCACAAAGCCGTTTCTATCCTCAAAATTGGTATCAAAGTTCGCCTGGTACACAACCGAGCATGGCTGGGCTTCTATACAAGGCTGTTCGTCCGGCAGTGTAAATTCGTCCAACACGTCGACGTTCGACAGAGCGTCGCCCAGAGTGACTTTGTCGGTGGTCATCCCGATTGCTCTATCGTTATTAACTATCGGATGTATCCTGAGGGAGGTTAAGCCGTCGCTTCCCAACGACCGACTATATTTCTATGTACGCACGCCAAGTGTCTTATATATTTCACGTGTACATCGTTTATATCACGTATCACGATATGATACAATCAGACCTGCCGTTCAAAATCACGAGCGAAACACCATCGGATCGTCGGCAAAATCACACAAATTTATGTTATTAAGAAGCATCTCGGAGCTACGAGTGATTTCCTTCACGAAGTAACGGTCACTTTAGGATGTAACGAGCGATCTCGTCAACAACACGAATCACTTCCCCGGTCTCGTTCCTCCGGAACGTTAAAAGTCGGTAGCATAACACACGCTCACGCGAGAAAAGAGGGATACGCAGGTGTATATGTCAAAGGAAACATCGCGCGGCGAACGCACCCCGGGAAGTCGACTCGATTTAGGGATGGGCAAAAGTCGATCGATTGATCGATAGATCGAAAGCTGCCGACGAGCCCGCGAGATTCCGATTGTGACTTCACACGAGCTTTTAAATTTTTCTTTGCGATCATATAAGAAAAACAAAGCCAAAATACAAAAAGTAATTTTTATACATTTTTTTTCAATAATCCTTTATCTGAATTATAAAGGATTATTGGAAACTTTGTTGAAAACTTTATTTTCTTCGGATTATAAAGGAAATGATTTATTTATTATAGGAAGTAAGCAAAGAGGTCTGTTCTTTCTAGCTCAATTCTTGTATCGTTTGTTTTTCTTGTTTTTCTTTCTAGATCCCTAAAGATATTTTAAATTGAAATGTTCTCTTAATTAATCTCATTTTATTATTTTTCCATCAGTATTTTCATGTTTGGTAAATTTTATTGTCATTTAATATATAATATTTCAAAAAATTTTAACAATATACTTTAATTTTTCCTTATATTTCATGGTATTGCATTGAATTTCATAAGGACAATTATGATAGTACATTATGAAATCGATGAAAAGTAAAATGAAAGTTATTAAAAAATTATTGATTATATTTCAAAATGAATCGTAATCTTCTTTATGAAATTCAATGT